AAAAAAAAAAAAAAAAAAAAAAAAAAAAAACAAACAAAAACCCACCAAAACAACAACAAAAAAGCACACAGCTAAGTTAAGGGACAATCAGCACCTGAACCCTATCTTCTCTGCTCAAGTTCACCAACTCCCATGGGCTGTATTGTGTGACCCCCAAATCCATAAGCTGATGCCCTCACCCAGTATGTCTAGCACAGCGCCTTTAATGTGATAATCAGCTTCCCGGAGACTGGACCCTCCAAACTCGACTTCATGTTTCATCCCTGAGGTTGTGGCCTTGCAGGGCTGCCAGGATGGGGACGGGAGAGGACAGCAGGAAGGAGTCTTCCAGTCCAGACACCACCTCCTATCCCAGGGGCAGCATCCAGGAGCACCGCAGTTCCCTGCTGGCTGATTCTGTCTCAGGGTCATGGTAGGATGGGCCTGACCTGTAGAAACTTCTGTAGGGGGCAAGGACCTACACTGCCACACAAGCAATGGAGAACAGAAAGATAATTTAGGCCCTGAGGGTGTGGCTAGTGGTGAGAGTACTTGCTTAACATACGCAAGGCCTGGGCTTGTATCCCCTGCACCCTGCCCCCCCACGCTTGTGAGTGCGCTAATTTACATCGACTTTTGTTGTTTTCTTTTGAGACAGGGTCTCACTAAGTAGCCCAGGCTGGCATCGAACTCGTGGCAATCCTTCTGCCTCAGCCTCTCAAGCACTGGGATTAAAAGTGTGCGCCACCATGGACGAGCGGGGCACAGATGCGAGTGTACTCACACCCACCTTGGAACAGCCCTCCTTTTCCGGCCGAGCAGGCCTCGAGGTGAGAGAGGTCAGTCCTTGCATGAAGACAGTTCCCAGTGGATGGCGGACTCCTCGCTTCAGCGCCTGCGCCTCCGCCCTCCGCCCTCCGCCCTCCGCCCTCCGCCTCAGACCCAGCCTCCTGTCCCACTGCGCACGCGCACAGTGGCCCCTCCCCTCCCCTCGCAGCGGCACCGCCCTCGAGGGTTCTGGGCGCGCGCAGTCGGAGATCTGACTTCTGGCCTCGCGCAGCCCCTTGGTGACAGCGCCCTATGTTCTTCGGAAATCGATCGTGGGCCCTGACAGGGGAAGTGGGGAGGGTAGAGGGCCTTGGCGAAGGAAGGAGGAGAGGAGAGTTCCGCAGACTGGCTGGTGGGGCTCTGTTCAGCAGGATGGGGTCAGGTAAATCTTCTCTGAAGGAGAAAAGCCGTCTTGGGTTGCGTGTGCTCTGGTGACCACCCCTGTGGACGAAGAGGATGTTTTCCGGTTTCTAGTCCCGCGCAGCGGAGGCTGGGCCACGTTCAGAGCAGTGTGTCCTACTTCCGGTTAGTGCTCAGGTATCTGGAGGACAGAGGACATTTGTCATGGGCACCACGTCAGGTGTGAGATTCAGAAGAACAACGCGAGGTGACACCACGACGCAGCACGTGCTCACGAAGCCGCAGGAACACCGCGCTCCCCCTGGATCCGAAGGCGAAGCCGTTCTAATCCATCAGTGTTAATACCCAGCCCGCAGTCCTGCTAAGTAGGAGGCGTCCTTGTTTGCATTCAGGGTGACAGGCTTAGCAGTATACAGTACTATCATCCAGCTCAGGACAAGGCTTTCTGCAGCTTTTCTGTAAGCTGGAGATTGTTTCAAATGTATACGACTGCGGGAAGAACTGTTAAAGATCGCGCCGTTTGCTTAAACTTGTCAGCTGTGTTTCATGGGCGGGGAGGGACCTTTCCTTCACTGTGTTAAGTCAGGTTTATAATTCAAGGCCTTCTTTATCTCCCCACCTTGATCCTGACTGGTATAGTGACACCTTATATAGTAATAGGCCAACACTCTCAGCCAAATCTGTTTGTTCTTGCAGGCAAGGCTTGTGTTTTTCATTTTTATATCTCTAGCCCTAGCAAAGATGGGCTCATTAAATCGACTTATGCACCAAGTCCAAGTCCTCTGTATTTTTTGGACTGCAGTGGATAGGGTGAGAGAAACAGTTGAAGAGATCATAAAAGGCAAGGGAAAGTGCTTCCCAGGGATACGATTTTTTTTTTTTTTAGACAAGATCTTGCTATGTAGTTCAGTAGTTCAGGCTGGTCTCAAACTCACTATGTCGCCAAGGCTGATTTCAGACTCTCATCAATCCTGCCTCAGCCTCCAGAGGGTTGGGATTACAGGTGTTCACCACATGGAGGGAGGTACGATTTCTTACATTTCTTAAACACCAAGGAGAAAATACCACCTGTCTGTAAGAGAAATCACACTTTTGTGTATGCAGGTGGAGTCAAGCTTGTCTGTGGATGCAGGACCGGTGCTAGAGATGCCTTGGGTACTGCCAGCCTCAGGTCAACTACAGAGGTGGTAGAGCAGCTCTCTAAGCAGGTACAGGGTGTACACCTGGGCCTTCGGCATCTGCATAGACCTGAGTCTTGGGGCCGGGGCCAGGAGGAAGGCTCAGCAAACCATTCACATCAGAGTGGGCTTATAAGCAGGGAACCTTGAATTCTAGAGATGGGGCCATCCAAAGATTTCAAACGGCAGTAATAAAGGAAAGTCACTATGTTAGTTACTCTTTGCTAAGACACAGTACCCAATGCCTGCCCACAAATTAAAGGTGAGGTTTATTTTGGCTCAGTTTATAGAGGTTTTAGTCTATAGTTGGCTGGCTCCAAGCCAGGGTTGCATGGCGGAGGGACATGGTGAGAGAAGAGCCCATGGCAGGGAACCACCACAGGGATCAGAGGAGGAGGACGACACATCATTCCGTGCTATGCCTGCAGTGACCACCTCTTGTGACCAGGCTCTACCTCCCAACATCACATTTACCTATAAACTCACCAGTGATCTAATCGCCCAATGCATATAGTGCCTCCATGTTCCAATCACCTCCCGAAAGTGTCCCCCCATTAAGTGCATGAGGCCCTGTGGGGGGCATCTAAACAGAGACCATTAACAGCCATTCTGGGAAAATGAGGTTGGGAAATTTACTGGAACCAGGGAGACCAATCTAAGCAATAATGCCAAGAAGGTGCTTTATAAACCACAACCTAGAATAGTAAGAGTTTGCTGATCTCTGCTGGAAGTTTTAAATTTACTTTTATAAAAGCTACCCCTTTGACATCTTACAGAAACAAGTTTGGCAACCTGTTGACACAACTAATAGGTTGAAGTAAACCAAAGGAAGCTTGGATGGATATTGGAGAATGTTTTTTATTTTTGGTATCAGGGATCAAACAGGACCTTGTAGAATTCAGGATCTTGTGCTTGCCTTGCAGGCACAGCACCACTGAGATAAATCCCTGGGCCTTTTTTGTTTGCTTTTTTGCAACAGGATCGCACTAAGAAGCCCAGATTGGCCTTGAATTCCCGGTCAGGAATTGAATCCTCCTGGCTCAGCCTCCCGAGTGCTGGGAGTAAGGTGTGGGCTAGCATGCCTGGCAGTGTTCTTAGTTTTTACATCTGATAGAGGACGGAACCTACCAGGCTTCTAAAGCAGGATGAACAACTGGTGCTCATGAGCAGGGAATGCAGCCTAAGGCTGCTCTTTTTCTTTTTTTGGTAGCAGGGATTGAACTCAGGACCTTGCGCTTTAGAGACAGATGGCAGAACCACTGAGCTAAATCCATGACCCAAGAGGGTGGTGGGCCACAGCCAGCCGGCTGGGGAACTGTGAGCTGGAGAGGATGGGTCGGTGCTCTGCACACCTCTTCCTGAAGAAGCCAGATAGCATTTCAGGCTTTGTGGGCCATCTGGCCTCTGTAGCATCCCACTCATTCATGCATGCGTACATGGGGCCCAAACAACCATGGACAAGATATAAATGAGCATAGATTTGTTCTAATGAAGCTTTATGGTTATATAAAGAAGATTGCTATAATTTTCATGTGTCCCAAAGTATCCATTCTTCCTTTGATTTTTCTGTTAAAAAAAAAAATATATATATATATATATATACACACAAAATTCTGTTCTTACCTAGTGCAATGGTGCACGCCTGTAATCCCAGCACTCAGAAAGCCGGGCAGCCAGACTGCTGAGAGTTTGAGGCCAGCCTGGGCTACATAGTGAGTTAAGGGCCAGCCTGAAGTACAGAAGACCTTGTCTCAAAAATAAATAAATAATTTAAAAAATCCTTTTCTTGGCTCATATGTCCGAAGAAAAACTACAGGCCAATATGAAGACTCACTGATTAGAGCCAGGCACCTGCAGCTTACTAGCTCTGTACCTTTGGTCAAATTCCCTTGCGTTTGCATCCCTCATGGTCCATGCAAGACTGTCCTGTGTTTAAAGCCACTGGACACGTTCAAGAGCTTGCTAAGGGGGTCAAGAGATACGAGGTGTGATCGAAAAACACGGTGAAAAAGAGAAACAGTCGGGGATTTAGCTCAGTGGTGCCGCCGCCTGCCTTGCAAACACAAGGTCCTGAGCTCGATTCCTGATAACAAAAAAAGAAACACGATGAATGCTTACTTTAAAAAAAATTACTGCAAGACACACTACCGTGAACCCCCTCAAGATACACTCCTCGTTTCACACTCATCCCATAGTTCTTGCCACTTCCTGAAGCAGGTCTGGAAGTCCTCTTTCCCGAGGGTCTTCAGTTGTGGGGTCCTAGCTGCTTTTATGTCCTGAGTCGATTCAAAACGTTGTCCTTTCATGGTCATTTGACTTTGCGGAAAACCCAGAAATAGCAGGATGCCAGATGTGGTGAATAAGGTGGGTGAAGACACAGCGCGGTGTACTGAGGAGCCCGCCTTTTGCAGCAGTCCGCGTTTTTGGGTTCACGTGCGCACTCAAGGGCCGGCAGCAGGAACCCCAACCTCTGCCAGTTCCGGCCCTTAGCGGTGCGCATGCGCGGCGGATGGCCAGCCGCTCCGGGAGCGCGCGTTGGCATCACGTGACGGCCAAGGTGGCCCAGTCGCCCTGGCGACGGTCTCCCAATCGCACGCCTTGGCAGTCCCGGCCAGGCCTTCATCGCAAGATACGCCGGGTCCAGGAGCCCTGGCCATGGCCACCTCAGCCGGCATGTCCTCTGCAGGCCCATCCTTCTCCGGGGTCGACGTGTTGCCTGAGACCGAGAAGCACTCAGGAGACCCGGAAAACACCTATATCCTGAGGCCCATTTTCCAGCAAAGGCGGGTACAGGACGGGATGTGGCACCGGAGTGCGGGTTGGGTGAGCGCAGTTCTTCTGGGGGAGCCTGAGGGCCAGAAAGGAGCGGAGGGAGGCCTGGCGGGGCGAGGCCGGAGGGGCCCTGCAGGAGTTCCGAAGCTGCGTCTCGGCTTCGGCGCCAGGGGGCAGCAGAGGACCCCGGTCAACGGTGCTGAGTTAGGTCGGGACAGAGCCTTAGGCTGGCGCTGCCGGAGTAGTTGACTAGGAAACCCAGAAGAGTGTTCCCGGGAAAGAAGGGATAGCATGGAGAGAGGCAGAAAACCAGTGGCTGGCACGGGACGCTGTTCAGCCTTGTTTCCAGGGATACCGTGTGCACATCTGTGCCAAAATGCGCCTGCTCCTGGCACCGCACTTGGTTGCCCAAGTCTGTAATCCCTGCATTCCAGAAGGCTGAGGCAGGAGGATTGGAAATTTGAACCCAGCCTGGGCAATTTAGTGAGACCTGTCTCAAAAAAGCTAAAAAGAGCTTGGGCCAGGCATTTGGCTCAGTGGTTCCGCCGCCTACCTCGCAAGTGCAAGGTCCCAAGTTCAATCCCCAGTACCAAAGAAATAGAATAAAATAAAAATAATAAAAAGGGGGGCCTGGAATTTAGCTCAGTGGTTCCTAAAAAAAAAAAAAAAAAGCCATTGGGAAAAATAATAGAAAGGGCTGAGATGTAGCTCTGTGGTAGAGCACCCCTGGCTTCACTCCCCAGTACCAGGGTTGGGGGGAGTTCAGCTAACTTGGTAAAAGGTTCTAGATGCAGAGGGTGGCTCTGCGCCATATTTCTGCTGTGAAACAGTGCAGTACAAGATGGACAGCAAATAGGCATATGTAGGAATGCTCTTGTTTTTTTGTTTTGTTTTGAGACAGGTCTTGCTTTGTAGCCCAGGCTGGCCTCAAATTTGCAGCGATCCTCCTGCCTCTGCCTCCCTAGTGCTGGGATTACAGGCGTGCACCATCATGCCCAGCTAGAAGTTGTTTTTTGTTTTTGGTACCAGGGATGGAACTCCGGTCCTTGCACTTGGAGGCAGGCAGCAGAACCACTGAGCTAAATCCTGGGCCCTAGAAGTTTATTTTCTTAATAGCAAAACATTTATTGGTACATTTCAGGCATGCATAATGATAACACTCATCATAGGGAATTTGCACCTGCACATGATACATCCCGCCTCTTTTTCCCATGCTCCCCTAGTGGCAAGCCCCCTCCCTCCCTGTGCACAAAAGCTTTGTTTGCCTTTTTCCCATCTATTTTCACTTTTTTTTGGTACCAGGGATGGAACTCAGGACCTTTCACTTTTCTTCTTATCCCTTCCTTCCTTTCTTCCTCCCTCCTCCCTTGCTCCCCTTCCCATTTGAACATTTTCTTCCCATTTCCCAATGTCTATTATACATTTTAGACCTTATTTCTTTCCACTTTCAGTTTCTCACACTAGAGAAGCAATGTGGCATTTAAACACGTATGTGTCTAATGTTTGTATTTCATTGAAGAGTATGGTCTCAAGGTCCATCTAGCTAGCTATAAATATCTGAATGTAACTGTACTGTCTACCTAAATGTACCAATGAACTCAATGAGGAAAAATTTAAAATAATAGATAAATGGAAAAAAAAAAAAAGACCCCGGTGATTTCAGCCAGACGAGGTCGAGCAGAGTCCATTCCAAGGCAATTGGGGCGGTAGGAGAAGGCAGCGCGGGCCTCCCCGGGGAGCTCGTTCACTGTGTGCGTGCAGGGCCCAGCGTCCACGTGAATGAGTGGGGCAGAAGTTCAGGGGCCGTTTTGGCTGTAGGCGCAACTTTTGTCTTTTTTTTTCTTGTTATTGGGTATTGAACTCAGTGCCTTGCACTTTCGAGGCAGGTGCAGTGCCACTGAGCTAAATCCCCAGCCCCAATGTGTTACTTTTTGTTGTGATGGTGGTTTTACTAGCATTTGAACCCAGAGCCTTCAAAGTGGCTACATTCCCAGCCCTTTTTATTCTTCTTTTTACAGTTTTGAGACAGGGTCTTGCACAGTTGCTCAGGAGGGTTTGGGATCACAGGTGTGCGCCATCAGCCATGCTGTTTATATTACTTTATAAGGAGAAACTAGAAAAGAAAGGACTAAAGGGTAGTGATGACAGATATCGGGGGAAGTTGGGGTGGGAAGGTCAGTTGGGGTTTGAGTTACTGGTGAGATGTTCTTGGATTCTCTTCTAGGTTCAGGCCCTCCGTGATTAAAGATTGCATCCACACTCTGCTCAAGGCTGAGCTGGCCGGCACCGAGTACTCTGCAGAAGAAACGCCACAGCTCACCAAACGCCTATCAGAAAACATCAAAGATAAGTTGAAAGGTAATTGTAGTAGTTCCTGGAAGGGACTTACTCCTTGCAGCCACTTCTGCTTCCTGTTTTTAAATGAGTGATGCAAACTGTGGATTCCATTGAAGATAAACTTTTCATTAATGTCTATCTGCTGTGGTTACCTGGTGACTTTTACAGGTTTTTGCAGATGGTATGAAGGCATAAAGATGTGAAATAGACTCTTGTAGAAAGATACTGTCCAAGAAATTGGGTATGCAAGTGGGTGTAGTGGCTCATGCCTGTATTTCTAGTGCTGAGGCTGAGGCAGGAGGATCACTGCGAGTCAAGCCTGCCTGAACTACTTAGTGAGACTCTTGTCTCAAAACAAAACAAAATAGCCAGGGCGTGGTGGCACATGCCTGTAATCCCAGCACTTGGGAGGCTGAAACAGGAGGATCACTGTGAGTTTGAGACCAGCCTGGCCACATAGTGAGTTCCAGGTCAGTCCCAACTACATAGTGAGACCCTGTTTCAAA